CTGCTGAAGAAGGAGGGACAATCTCCTCCTGTACCAGTCATATCCAAATTGACAGTATACACACACACACACACACACATCCCTAGCTATCAGAAAGATGCAAATCAAAACAACTATGAAATATCTCACCCCAAAAACAATAGCACAAAGTTCAACAGGGCAGCAAACAACAAATGCTAGTGAAGTTATGGAGAAAATGGAACTCATACCACTAGTGGGAATGTAAAATGGTACAGCCATTATGAAAGGTGGTCTGGCACTTTCTAAAAAAAGTTGGAAACAGAAACACCAGTTGAGAATATACCCTAAAGTAACCAAAGCCACAACTCAAATAGATGTATGCACACCCTTGTTTATTGTTGCATTCATTATTCACAATAATAAAGAAATGGAAGCAACCCATGCCCATCAACAAACAAATGGATAGGAAAAGTATGGTACATTCATACAATGAAATATTATGCAGCACTGAAAAACAATGAACGCTTGAAACACTCCACAATATGGGGGATTCTGGAAGTCCTTGTTCTTGTTGTTTTGTGCCCATTGAGTAGTTTGTGACTCAAAGCAACCCTCAGTACAACAGCCCTGAAACCTGCCTTATCCTGTGCCAACATTATTGTCTCTGACACACCTACCCTCATTACCCCAGTCACTGAATCAATCCATCTCATCGAGAGTCTTCCTCTCTTACGCTGTTCCCCCACCTTTCCAAGCATGATGTCCTTCTACAAGGACTGGATCCTCCTTGCAACATGCCCAAAGTATGTCAGATGGAACTTCAGAATAGAATCCTTACCTCCAGGAGGAGTCTGGTTTCACCCTCTCTAGGACAAACTGTTCTCCTGCCAGTCCATTCAATACTCTTCTCCAGCACCACATATCAAAGGCATCGATTCTCTTTCTATCATCCCTAGTCATCATCCAGCTTTCTGATGCATAGCAAGTAATTGCAAAGACTATGGCTTGGATCAAATGCACTTTAGTCTCCAGACTGACATCATTGCTTTTCAATACTCTGGAGAGGTCCCTGAACATAAACCTTCCCAATGCAATTAATCTTTTGGTTTCCTGGCTGCTGGTACCGAGAATGTTGATTGTGGAACCAAGCAAACTAAAGCTGTTAACAATCTCAATCTCTTCACCATCTATCAAGAAAAAAAATCAAACATCAAAAGGTGGAAAGAGATGTATCAATCAAATAATAATAAAAAAGGCAGGGGGAGAACTCAGAAATAGGGACATGAGTCTGTGTGCAGATCACTAAACTGTTCAACAAACAAGAGATCCAGGTGGAGGTAATGTAAAGTATCCTGGGAGTCTGGACTTTTCAGGGCCCAGTTAGACCTTACTGAGACTTGAGGTAACTTTGTCTTCTACCAAGAGAAAAGGTACTATGATGCTCTCAAAAAAATAGAATAACTGGTTCTTTTTTTTTTTTTTTGGAATTCAGATGCACTCTTATTGATTGTGCTTGGCTGTACATGTACATATCCTTCAAGATGTATCATGGGGGTGTTGCAACCTAGAAGACACAAATTTGACTAACAAGTTATAAGTACATGAGTCCAAAAATTATGGAAAAGTAAAAGAAAAGATTCTTTCATTGTTTTACAAACCCTCCCCAAGGTCCCCTCCACCATGCAGCCCTCGCCCTAGTCTCCTGTGATGACAGAAATACCCAGTTACATCTCTCTTTTAGACGGTTCTCTCCCTCCTCTGCTTCAGTGCAGTATACATTATTGAACCCATCTTACTCAGTGTCTCCCTAACCCCAAGGACAGTCCCATTCTACAACAGTGGCGTCATGTAATATTTGTCCTTTTGTGACTGGGATATTTCACTCAGCATAATGTTCTCCAGAGTCAACCATTTTGAATAATATTGCATGAGTTCCTTGTTTTTTAATGCAGCATAGTATTCCATTGTGCGAATATACCACAGCTTCTCTAGCCATTCGTTTGTTGATGGGCACTTAGGTTGTTTCCAACTATAAAATTCATTACAGAAAAGCTAGGAACAACACTAGAAGTCCTAATCCACAACATAAACAGTCTTCCCAGTATCCTGGAAAAGCTACAACCAGGAGAAGATTACATAGATGAATGGGACCTTCTAAGACTCAAATCCCTATGCACATCCAAAAACTTCTCCAGTAGGGTAAAAAGGGAAGCCACTGACTGGGAAAAAGTATTCGGTAATAACATATCAGATAAGGGACTTATATCCAGAATTTATGAAATACTTGAGCACCACAACAAGATAAAGGTAAATAATCCAATAGAAAAATGGGCACAGGATATGAACAGGCACTTCACCAAAGACGACATTCAGATGGCTAACAAACACATGAAGAAATGCTCAAAATCCCTAGCCCTAAGAGAGATGCAAATTAAAACAACTATGAGATATCATTTCACCCCAGTCAAAATAGCAAAATTTAACAGAACAGCAAGCAACAAATGCTGGCGAGGTTGTGGAGAAACTGGAACCCTGATTCACTGTTGGTGGGAGTGTAAAATGGTGCAACCCCTGTGGAAAGCAGTATGGCGCTTTCTCAAAAAGTTGCAAATAGAGATACCATTTGACCCAGCAATTCCACTACTGAGAATAACTGGTTCTAATGGAATGTGCAGGCCTTGTGCCACAGTAGTTAAATTGTTTGACTATTAACAAAAAGGTCTGTGTTTCAAAACCACCAGCTGCCACAGGGAGGAACTAAATAGCAGTTTTCATGCATAAATACTAAGGGGCTTGGAAACTTTATGTTGCAATTCTATTCTGTCCTATAGGATTGCTTTGAGTCTGAATGACTTGACAGCAGTGCACTTGGGTTTGGTGTTTTCTTTTGGGCAGTGTATTCTTTACTAAGAAGGCTTTGAATTATTTATGCAGAGTGAACTTCTGAGCTGTAAATCACAGTGGGAGGAGACTATCTTTTCTCCACCACCACTACCCTGACACTCCCAACCCCATCCCTTTCTCCAGAGCTTTGATGGCCTTGAACCACCAAAGACACACAGCCTTGGGGTTAGTGGCACAATTCACTACATACTATACCACAGAGTTGCCACCAACTCCTAGAGTTCCCCATGCACAATGGGATAAGAATCCCATGTGGCTTTCATTTGTTGGTTGTTAGAAATAAATGTATTGCAATACTCTGACTCCCTAAGTTGGTTTCCTTACTCTAAAATTGAACAGAGACACCAGAGGTTCAGTGATGGGATTCTTACCTTACACAAGGAAGACGGGATTCAATTTCCAGACAGTGCACCTCTGGACAAACACCTTCTGGAGACCTAAGATGCTGAGACTGCAAAGGCAGCCCAAATACCCTCAGAAGAGCACCCCCAGGATAAACAAGCTTGATCACTATACCATCATCAAGTTTCCCATGACAACTGAGTCAACCATGAAGAAGATGGAAGATAACAATACCTTGTGTTCATTGTGGATGTCAAGGCCAACAAGCACCACATTAAACAAGCTGTAAAGAAGCTCTATGACATTGATGTGACCAAGGGTTAGACCTTGATTAGACCTAACAGAAAGAAGGCCTATGTTCGACTTGCTCCTGACTATGATGCTTTGGATGTTGCCAACAAAATTGGGATCCTCTAAACTGAGTCTAGCTGGCTAATTCTAAATATAAATTATTCTCATTTTTTTAAAAAAAAGGTTAACACTGGTTACTTCCTTCTTTGTATTCTCATCATCTTCCATAAATAATTCTTCAACATGAACATTAACTACAACTATTTCTTTATCTCCTGGTCTCCTGGTGAGAAATTGTGCACCAATCCTAACTTACATATGCCTTGGCTCACCCAGCACTTAGCATAGGATCTGTCAGAAGATAGGTGCTTGCAGATGTTTGACAAGTAAATGAAGAAAAGGGAGCAAGGGAACACAAAAGAGAGGGGCAGGAAGATTGACAAATAAGGTTGGAATAGGGAAAACACTGTGTGTTGGAGTCACGCCCTAAAAGCAAAGAGTTTGAACATTATTCCACCAACACTTGGGAATCACAATAAAGCATACTTCAGGGAGAGTAAAGAAGAGGTTGGATATAGAAAGGCTGAAAGGAAATCAGTGAGGAAGTTTCTTGTTAGGACAGGAAACAGCAGTGAGAGTTGACTGTACTCAGAAGGCAGGAAGGGCAGGAAGAAGGCTTCTTTCGATCCTAATGGAGCCTCCAAGGTCTTGACGCTGAGCAGACCCTGCTAGGGAGGGAGGAGTCCCAGGCTGTGAAAGAAGGAAGTGAGCCCTACAGCCTCTCTTTCCTTACAGACATCCCAGTCAGCACTGGCAAACCACAACAGTAACGCTCTGGGCTCCATTAGAAACTACTGTCACGGCCATAGGGGAGACCGGAAGGGCACAAACGGTCTACCAGCTGCTCTTTAAAAACAAGTATACTTGAGTGAAACCTATTTTGCTATGTATTAACCTTGCCCCAGATCTATGTCTAGCAACAATGATTACACTACCCATAGAATGTCTAATCAAACACGTTGCTATTGAGTCAGTCTCAAGTCATAAACTACCCACAGAGGACCTCACCTAAAATGCTGCTATGCGGCACAAAAAGGGTCCCTCAGGGGCTCTTTCCCCCCACTGTCACGATGAACTAGATCCATGACCAAACTCATCAGCTATCTGCTGACCATAAACATTGTCCTAAGAGACTTGAGGATCTGAAAGAAGACATGTCAAGAAAGGCCTCAGCAGAAGGCCTTCCTTAGAATTCCAGGCCAGGGAAGCCCAAGGACCCAGAAGTGCTGTGTGTCCAGGGAAGGGAGAAGGGCAGTGAGGGTGATGGTCACAGTTTTGCTTGGGCTAACCCAGTCCATTCTGAAGTCCCCTTGTACCGGTGACCTGGAGAATGGATTCACAAGCACTTAGCACTAGAGTGAAAACACTATGAAGACCCTCAGGATAAAGTCTGAAAGTCAAGCCCAGGAAGAGGAGTGGGGAGGAGAAAAGGGTGGGCTCACCGGAAGCAGCGTGGCCCGGAGCTCCAGGTACATGACATTGTCCAGGTAGAACTCCTCCAGGCCCCGGAAGATGTGGTCTCTGAACACTGGTGCATAACTGACAAGGCCAGAGATGGTGAGGAAGATGATTTCAAACTTTGCCCAAATCACATTTTGGTCTAAATAAGCCACCTCGGGGTTCTCCGTCACCAGAGTAAAAGTCTTCAGCAGTCTGTCCAGGAAACAAGGGGATGGGGGGAGGTGAGGTCATCGTGCACAGAGACCTGTTAAGATTTCCAGATGCTTTGCTTCTCTCATCCAGAAGCAAAACAGGGTTTGTCACAGTGAGGATGCTAAACAGGGGGCAAGGGGAAGCATGAATAACCCAAGGCTTCTACCCTATGACACTTGCTGACAGCACTGCACTTTCCAGGAGTTCATGAGTGAGTCTCATTCAGTAAGGCTCTCCCATTCTCCTCCATTTGTTTAGCCTACCTGACCCTCACAAAGTACGTGTATAGAGACCAAAACTTCTTTAGGTGGTAAGAAAACAAACAAAAACCAACCCAAAAACCTTGTTGCCATTGAGTGGACTCTGGCACATGACAATCCGATGAATGAATGGATCCATAGCTGACCCTTCATTGGCTTCTGAGGCTGTAAACCACATAGCAGGAGTTTGTCCATTATCTTGCTTTTTTACTGTTAGAGAGGGATGGACTTTAGGTTAATAGCTGACTGAGAACTCCTTGAGCTACTCAAACACCTTCTTGGGCTGATATAACAATAATCATGTATTTGGGGCCATATGATCCAGGCTTATATCCATTTATGAGCTGTGTGACCCTGGACAACAACATATAATAATATAAATATATTCAAGTGTGTCAGAGATAATGAGGATAGTGCAAGATTCAGATCTGTTGTTTATAAGGTCACTATGAAACCAGGCAGCTCCTTGGAAGCAAGGATTTTAAAGCTCTGGCTGACATACTTTGGGCATATTGCAAGGAGGGAACAGTCCTTGAAGAGGTACAACATGTTTGGGAGGGTGCAGGGATAGTGCAAGAGATAGTGGATGAGATGGATTGACTCAGAGACTGGAGTAATGGATGTAGGTGTGTCAGAAACAATGAAATTCACTCAAGATAGACCAGGGTTCAGAGATGTCGTACATAGGGAGCTATGAGTCAGAATCAACTCAACATCTAACAACAAAACATGAGTCATACTTGACATGATGGCTCTTAATAACAACACCACATAAGTATAGTACAAAGTTGCTTTATAATGTTTTTAAATAGTTTTATCTGCCAGTTGAACTGTCATCATCCCAGAAGGTGGACATTTCTTTTTCCTGGTCGCACTGAGCATCAAGACAAATCTCATACAACAGAGTTGTTGATCCAATCAGATTTTAAAATGCACCAGGAACTTAACTATTGAAAGAAAATGCATCAGATGCTTTTGTGGGGCAAGTAGAGTTAGAAAGAAAATGCTTTTTGATTTTTGTTAGAGTCAGATTTTTATGTTAAGAGTCTAAACCAAGTGAGATGCACTTGCACACTGCCCGTTACCTGCAACAGGTGTGCAAGGCCTGCTTTCAGGATCACCACTCACTTGTTGTCAAAATCAGTGACATTCTCCAGCTTTCTTCTGTGGTCCTCCAGCAAAATCCACTCTGAGCAGTCTTCTTTATCAGGAGGAGGGGCAGGTGGGCGAATAAACTTGAACTTCAGGATACCCTTGGGAGTGATACAGAAATGACAGTACGGCCTGTAGGTGACATTTCTTACTAGCCAGTCCACATCCAGGATGCCAAAGTCGTGGAGATGTAAGGCAGCCCCTGCAATGGGAAAAATAAAGAGGTGAGGGAGCAAAACAAGAAAAGTCTGGACTTCAGGACGTGTTAATGGAGTCTTAAGAGTTTTTATCTAGTCAAGTTCCTCTGTAAAAAAAAATAATTATAATATACCTTTCTCACATTAGGTAATTACTGATCTATTCCTTGCCTTTTCTCTTCTTAATATGACCACTGTCTTACTTATTCTAGCAAAATGGGGTGCCCTCTCTTCTTCCTCCCTCACTAGAAACCAGGGGTGTGCTGAGGAGAGCAATGGGCATAAAATTAAAAGACTATGGTTTAAATCAGTTTCTAGCTCTCTGTTCAGAACTCAAGTCTTTAAGTGAAGCTTTGCCATTCAATACTATGTGAAAAGGAGCTCTGGTGGCCTAGTGGCAAGAAGCTGGGCTACAATCCCGAAGGCATGTAGTTCAAATCCACCAGATGTTCTGATGGAAAAGGAGGGGCAATCTCCTCCTGTGCCAGTCGGATCTGATTTGGCGGTACACAGCAACAACAAAATAGAGAGTAAAATTAAAAAAAAAAACCAAAAAACACAAACACTATTTAAAGGGATATTAGTAACAGTGTTCTGTGGATGCCCTGACCCTGTTTACTTAATTGTCCGTTGACCTCTTACTCTATTCCTCAGTCCCCCATCCCCCTGTTGGCTCCTTTTCCTTTCTCTCTGTCACAAACCAAAGCCTGTGGAGCTTCTGAATTGTAGACTTTGACATTCTGGGCCCCATTCTGACCTTGCAGACTTCTACCAGTTTTGGGGTTGCTTTTTTTTTTTAACAATTGTGGTTTGTTTTCTTTTTAATTTTTATATTATACTAGTTTTCTTACAAAGTTCCATCAGTTTTAACCCCAGTACTTGTCCATGCCCAGTGTATACCATCCTCTTCTTCTTGTTGTCCCACCCAGCACTTGACCTTGACACTGAACCAGTGACAGCTGTCCTAAGTATGTGGGGCTGATGCTTCACCCATTCTAAACCTTATGTTCCCCATCAACTGGAAATAAGATCTACTTGACCAGCCTCACAATTCTTTTTATTTATATCTGTTTATGATATTCAAGTAAGACTAAGTATAGAAAAGTGTGCTGCAAACTGCTGTTTTATATTAAATTTCACATAACCATTCATGGAAACTTGTTTATACTGTCCCATAATATCCTAATACCATGTTGTATGCTGTTTGGTAACTGGGTCCTTGGATTAAAAGATAAGCAGAAAGATATAAAGAGAATAATAATGTTTCATGGGAGGGGCTCTAGTGGTCTGGTTGGGAAGGAACTACACTGCCAACTTGAAAGCATGCGGTTCGAATCCACAAGCTGCTCCATAGGAGAAAGATAGGCAAGATCCTCCTATATGATTTAATGCCTCTCAAAACTCATTGAAGGGACATCTATGAGTCAGTTCTGATTTAATGGTACACAACAACAACACTGCTTACACAATGTGATAATTCCAAAGTCCAGACAGTTCTCTTCTAGATCTGATACTGTATTGGTGTTTGTTTGGCCCTCGGGCCTTTGGTCCTCAGGCCCAAAGTTGATTTGAGACTAAAGATATCCTTTCCTGAAAGATAAGATTAAGGTAGCCACTGATGCCCTTCTGGGAGAAAGGTGCTACCTGATCAAGATATTGGAGAGGGCTCTCAGACAAAGATTCTCTCCACTGGGCCAACTGGAAGCACCATAATAGGTGGAGAAGAGATTGAGGTTGTTAACACTTATAGCTTGCTTGAATCCACAATCAACACTCTTAACACCAGCAGTCAGGAAATCAAAAGACAAATTGCATTGAGAAACTCTGCTGTCATGAACCTCTCCAGAATGCTGAAGAGCAATGATGTCAGTCTAGATACAAAGGTGTGCTTAATCCAGGCCACGGTCTTCTCAATTATTTGTTATGCTTCAAAGAGTTGGACAATGACTAAGTATGACAGAAGAATAGATGCCTTCAAGTTGTGGTGCTTGAGAAGAGTCTTGAACATACCATGGACTGCCAAGAAAACAAATAGGTCTGTCTTGGAGAGGGTGAAACCAAGTCTCTCCTTGGAGGCCAAATCTCTGCCTCACTTACTTTGGGAACGTGACCAGGAGAGATCAATCCTTGGAGAAGGACTTCATGCTCAGAAGGGTGGATGGACAGAGCAGGAAAGGAAGACCCCTTATGAAATGGATTGACATAGTAACTGGCAATGGGAGTTGGTGTCTTGGAATTAGTGAGACTGGATCAGGAAAGGGAAGGGTTCAGAGATGCTGTATATCAGGTACATTGCAGGTGACTCAATGGCACATAACAACAATAACATACTATGACAGGTTTGGAAGCAGGAGTGGCATCCACTTCCTAAACCACATGCCTCTGAAAACACTATGAACTTTGATAAATATCCATAGTTGTAGAGGGGCTTCAGGCCTCTTGTTCATAGAGTTGCTGTAAGTCGTGCTTGACTCAAAGGCAACAACAACAACAACAACATGGATCCTGGGCACTGGCACTGTATTATATAGATAGATATAAATGTAGATGGATATGGAGATAGACACAGAAAAGAGATAGAGATAGATATATAGGGATAAAGAGATATAAAGATATAGATATAGATTTGTGATTTGAGTACAGGCTTACAAAGTAAATTAGTTTTCCTTTAATCATTCATACCTCTTTTGTTCTATAACATTAATTTCAATAATCTCAATATGATCACACATGTCCTAATTCTTCCCTATAGTTCTGATTTCCATTGATTCTTCTATACTTCTCTACGTCTTTATTTAGTGATATTAAGCTTATTATGCACCTATGGATATTGCCATTCTCTTCACTCATTTTAGTATGTACCTTTATAACAAAGAAAGAATTTTTTTTTCAAAAGAAAAAGTAAACTGGAGGCGAGAGGGGAACAGGGAGAAAAATGGACAACAATGAATGAATGGAAATCCAAGTTCTCTATAAACTTTCACTAAAAATCTCAATAAAACAATCTGTACCTATATAGATATTTATTCATGTTTTCTTCCCTCTCCTTCCTTTCACATCCTTGATAATCATTAAAAAATTACTCTATCTGTGCATAATTGTTTATTATGGAGGATTTATACTATATATACTATAAAGTAGTGTGACAACCTTATTTTATTCTGGACACTGTCTTATGACAACACCAGCCTTGATAAGAAAGACTTGTAACATTTAGGATTCTTCCTAACCACTGCTACTGTCTCTCCAAAACCAGGTCCTCTCAGAAGCAAGATTTTTCATTTCCGTGATAAACCAGAAGCTCTCCTTAAAAAGTCCTTCTTGGTTTGCCTGGGAGAACAGTGGAGCAGAGTCACTGAGGGGCATTTGCAGCTACTTTGCTGAGGACTTCTTTATATACTGTCTTTATTTAGACCACTAAAGAGTACAGAACACCAATGAGTAGATCCAAATTTCTCTACATCTCCCTAGGGTCCCTAATCACCCCTTTCCAAACTTTACCTTTTGGCATCTTCTTCAGAATCTGAAACACCTCACTTTTCTCAATGAGTTCCTTGGCCTGGAAAAAGTGCATTCTGGGTGGGAAATTCTGGGTCCTCATGGCCTCAGTTATCTCGGCCTTTTTGAGCGCCATGAGTTTGCCATTGGCTTCTTCCTCTTCTTTCTTCAGCACCAACTGTCCGCCAAGTCGTACCATCTTCTCTCTTTTTAACAGCTCATTCCGTGCCTCGTCTATGGATATGGCTGAGCAGGAAGAAGGCAACACCAGAGCCAAAAGCAGGAGCAGCAGGGCTGGCTGCCCAGATGGGCTCACCACCAACATTGGGATACCTAGAAGAAACAGATCAGATGGAAACTCAATGGAGTTAAAGAACAGCTAGAAGGAGTAAGTGAAAGCCCACATATTTCACCATGAAACTCTTACATCCCTTCTCCAACCTCATCTCAAATCTTCAGCAGGGAGGTCGTTGAAAGAGTTTTCTCTGGACCCCTAAAGAAAGACTTTAGGTGTAGAAAGATGCAGTCTCCTCGTCTTTTCAGTCAACAAGCTCTCCTCACACAGTGGGAAAGAAACTAAAATCAGATGTTCAGTGTTTCCTTTTAAATATAGCCAGAGAACAATGGATCTACAAGGAAGGTCACTGACATCAAAGAGCCATACACACATAGATCAAACTAAAACACACATAGAGAAAGAACCAAGAAGACTTTAAAACAACATAGAAATGCAAGGGGGGAAAAATCCGAAAGAAGAACAATCAATATCCTTAGACAAGAAAAAAATCTTGTGTCCGTAAAACAGTAACAGGCTACAAAAAATGGAGAATGCAAAAAAGCTCTTAGAAATTAAAACTCAGAAAACTGTAATCCTAAAATTTAGAGAAATAAAAGATGTAGCTGAAGAAAACATTTAAAAAATAAAAACAAATAAAATGAGAGGCATATTGGCCCAGAAAATCATCCAGTGCCAAACAAGTAGATATTTCAGAAGGAAAAGAAGAAGAAATAAATGGGAGAAAATAATAAGATAAAAATACAAGATATTATCCCAGGACTAAAAGACTTGAGTCTCAAAACTGAAAAGACTTGAGTAGCTAGCATAGCACAATGTGTAATAGCCACACCAACACGAACTATTTTGATATTGCAGTACATTGGCACTTAGAAAAATATTTAAAATTTCCAGAGAATGGCTAGTCCAGGTTGGCAGTGAGCAGAGATTTAAGGAAGATAGAAGGTCAGTGAAGAGAGGAAGATCCTTGGAAAGATGGACTAAAAAAATGGGCTTAAGTACATTGTGTTTCTGAATATTTGGAATTATATGCACCAAATAATAAGTATGATTTTGATATATTGGAAAGAATGAAAATATTTATTGAGTAAATTAGGAGATTTTGGATATAGTTCTAAATAATTATCAGTCTTTAAACATGATATGATCAATAAAACATTATTTCAAGTGATTCACAAATTAATATTAATATTAATTACTTTGATAAGCATATAGTCATGTGAATCAGCACATTAAACCTATTATATCATGACTAAGGAGGCCCAGTGACACAGTGATTAAAGTACTAGACCGCTGACTGAAAGATTAGCAGTTCAAAGCCAGCAAATGCTCTGCGGAAGAAAAATGGAGAGTTGTTGCTAGGTGCTGTCAAGTTGGGTATGACTCATAGTGACCCTCCAAACAACAGATCTGAACCCTGTCCTATTCTGTGCCATCCTCACAATCTCTGAACTCATGAGCCCATTGCTGCAGTCACCATGTCAACCCACTGGTTGAAAGTCTTCCTCTTCTTTCCCTTCCCTTTATCTTGATATCCTCTCAAGGAATAGCTTCTCTTACCAATTTTTCCAAAGTATATGAAATTAAACTTTATCATCTTTTTCTCCAAGGAACACTCTGACTGCACCTTCTTTGAAACATATTTGTTTGTTCTATTGGCAGTCCATGGAATCTTCAGCACTCTTCTCCAATACCACTGTCAAAGGCATCAGTTTTTCTTCTGTCATCCTTATTGTTCAGCTCTCAGATGCATATCAAGTGACTGAAAAAACCATGGCTTGAATCAGGCACACCTTAGTCCTCAAACTGACATCATTGCTCTGAAATAATTTGTAGAGGCCCCTGACTACATACTTTCCCAGTGCAATATATATCCTGATCTCCTGACTGCTGGTACCAAGTTATTGTGGATTCAAGTAAGATGAAGTTGTTGACAGTTTTAGTCTTTTCTCCATTTACTATGATGTTGTCTATCAATGGAGCTGTAGGCTTTCATAAATATTACAACCTTAAAAATCCTGTAAGATTTTACTCTATCCTATATAATAGCTATGAATTAAAACTGACTTGACAGCAGTGTATTTGATTTGGAAATTGTTATTTAAATTTAAGTAATTTAATTTAAAGAAAAATATTAAAGAAAAGTACAAGAATTTAACAACAAGTCAAATTAGGTAATCAATGGACTAGATTATAGGCAAAGTTCTTTCCAGTTTGATTATCCAGTGCTGTGGAGTCAGTCCTAATTCCACCAGGGTTCCAAGGCTGTAAATCTTTATGGGAGTAGATTATCTCAGCTTTCTCTATCAGAGATGTTGGTGGATTCAAACCAATGACTTGCTGGTTAGGAGCCCAACATATAAGGAACACAAAGTACTATGCTACCCTATCAATTTTTTGATAAATTTATTCCAGGGGACTGTCAGGAAGAACTAGATGACTATTTACTCCCTCCAGTATCACATTTGTGGTATAAAGTCATCAATTTTATGAAGTCTTTGTATCTCTACTCATGCTACAACTAAAAAAATGTCTGTGTCTATTTGAAATCACTAGAGCAAGAATAGAGTTACATCCGCCTTACCAAGCTACCTACCCCATGGCACTGCCTTCCTCTGGTCAACACCCGTGGTCAACTTTCCCTAAGTAAAGTGCTCAAAACTCACAACAATCAGGACAAAACTGACTCATAACTGACTTGCCAGTGGGTTTTCTGAGGCTGTAAACTGCACAGGAAGAAAGTCCTCCATTCTCCCACAGAACTGCTGGTGCATTTGAAATGCCAGAGAGGCCCACCTTTGAGTTAGCAGCACAACTCCCTAGAGAATACAGCTTCAGAACTCTCTCCAGACTAGCTAAGTACCTCAAAGCTGGAGGAAAGAAAATGAGAATATTACGGAATCAGGGTTATATGGTACAGTGTATGGATTCTTTTCCTCACCTACCAGATAATAACAGTTTGAACATCTGTCAGGATTAGTTCAAAGAGAAGGAAAAACGAGCTAAGTAGTACTTATTGCTGTGCCTACCTCATCTTTTCTATCTCCACAGAATTTTTTCTTATAAAAACCTTTTATAAAACCCATTTCTAGGTTAAGAACAAAGAAAAAGACTGCATACATCTGTGAATTAGTAAAAGTCTTGGAATGAGCAACTATTTTCAGAAGACTGTTGTGGGGAAACCTATGCTCTGCCTTCTGACAGAGTCACAGAGCCACTTACTGTGAGGGAGAGGGCAAATGCTGACAAACGTAGTCCAAGGCCCCAGCTCCCAGCTCCCAAGCCCGGACCTCTAGGGCTAGTCTGATCCTCAACCCCTGGGCTTCCCAGTTACCTCAGAGCCGCTCCAGAGACTGTAGACTGTTTGCTCAGTCCTCCAACAGCTGTGTCTGAAAGCACCCGAAAAACTTACCATGCTATTTCACTTCCTGTCAGGGCCAGTTTCACTTCACTCCAGACTCCTATTACACAGTGAGGCACGGAAGAAGAGGGGTCTGAAAGGGCCTACGTAGCAAGAGTGTGTGGTATGTGCTTATGAGCATGTGTATATGTATTTCCATGTTTGGAGGTTTATTTGTATGTTTGTGGGGAAATATGGGTATGTCTATGTTTATATGTGTTTCTGTGTATAGTTATCTATTTATGTGCATGAAGGGTTTTGTTATATGAGTTGGGTGAGGACTTGTGTGGGCTTATCTGCATATTGATCTGTGTTTTCGTGTCTGGTGTTATCCATGTGTATGTATATATAAGTCCATGTGGTTTTGTGAGTATGAATTTTTAGATATGCTATATGTGTGTTTTCAGAGAGAGAGATCAGCTGGCCCAGTGGACAAAAAAACGATACTACCAAACCAAAGGTGGGTGACTATTAATCTGCGGCCCTCAGGCCTGTCTTTCATTGTTTTTGTTCAGACATTCCTCTAGGTCGTATAACCCTGGTGTACAAGTTGCCCTACAGCAAACTTTTGGTTGCTGTGAGGCTGAACACTGTGACACTGATGTGTCAAATGCATTAATGGTTGGCTACCCAGTGCGGACAGAGAGTGGGGTGGTGGTGTTGTTGTTATGTGCCATCGAGTCACCTGCGACTCATAGCGACCCTATGTACAACAGCCCTAAACTCCGCTCTGTCCTGTGCCAATCGCACTGTCTCTGACACTCCCATCCCAATTATCCCAGTCACTGAATCAATCCACCTCATAGAGGGCCTTCCTCTCCTGCGCTGTCCCTCCACCTTCCCAAGCATGATGTCCCTCTCTAAGGACCGGTCTCAGCTCCCTGATTAAAACAAGCTTGGAAGGAGGAGTGGCATCCACTTCCATAATAGCTTGCCTCGGGAAACCCTATGAACCTGGAGAGAGGATGAAAGGCACCCAAGTGTTGAGGACTCTCCTTTCATAGGGTTGCTATGAGTCGCCTGCGGCTTGACGGCACTTAACAACAACAACAACAAGAAGAACAACATATGTGTGTTTTTGTGTGAAGGGGAAGATTTTTGCACATGTTGATGTGTATTTATGTACATGCATGAATTTAAGTGTGTTTGTGGATCAGAGTGTGGGTGTATGTATAACTTTCAAAGTTCATTGCTGTTGAGTCAGTTTAGCTACATGTTGTTGTTGTTAGCTGCCATCAAGTTAAGTATGACTCATAACTCCCCCATGAACCACAGATCTAACCCTGTCCTATCCTGTGCCATCCTCATCATCCCAAACATACTTGAGCCCATAGCTGCAGTCACTGTGTCAATCCATCTCACTAAGGGTTTTCTCTTTTGCCATCCCTCCACCTTTCTAAGCATGATGTCCTTTTCCAAGAAATAGGCCCTAGGAGATTGTCTATTTGTGCTTTATTGACTATGCAAAGGCATTTGACTGTGTGCATCATAACAAGTTGTGGCTGACATAGAGAGAAGAATAGGAATCCAGAGCACTTAATTTGGCTCATGTAGAACATATACCTGGACCAGTAGGCTGTTGTGTGAACAGCAGGGGAACTCTGCATGGTTTAAAAGTAAAAAAGGGGGT